ATATATATGTGTGTGTCACAGCCTATTGAGTCAAGTTGTGTTCCCAGATGTCCTTCAGTGTGAGTTCATCCACTGGAGCCTGATCAACCTATCTAGTGTCACAACCTTAAAGAAGACCAACTCTTTCTCACCCAGCAGTGATCAGTTTCCAATAGTTCCTCAGATAAGGTTGGGGCTTCTTACCCATTTTCCAGTTCTATGCTGGGTTTTTGTACAGTTTGAGTTTGCATGGGTTTTGTGCATGTTGTCACCATTGTCATAAGTTCATATGAGCAAATCCCCAGAAGCCTGGAAAACTCTGTTTCTACCACCCCTGGCTCTTACATTCTTTCTGTCTTCTCTTCTACAATATTCCCTGACCCCAGGGTAACTGGGGTTTAATATAAGAGTCCTATCCAGAGACACACATTCTTCAGTCTCTTATTCTCTACATTTTGGCTAGATCTAGCTTTCTGTGTTAATCACCATCTATTGCATGAGGAAGCATCACTGGTGAGGGCTATGAGGTGCATTATTATCCTTTCTGGCCCATATTCTGCTATGTTCTGTGATCCTTTGGTGTAGAGGTTGCACTGTAGATATGTCACTTAAGGCTGGACATATCACAGACACGTATTTTCTGCATTTGACTGGTTGTGGACCTCTGTAATAGTCACCATCTGTTATGAAAAGAATCTTTTTGATGAGTGATGAGAGGCATACTTGTCTGTAAATATAAGGATACATATTTAGCATGCAGTAAGAAATTACATTTGACTAGGGATGTGACAAACAGGTTTTTCTCTATGGTCTGTGACCTCTCCACGTATGTCTATTGGCTAGGTTTACAGTACCACACATGAGTTCCCACATTGCGCAAGCTTTAAGACCAATTAGAAAGCTGTTGATTGCCCCCAAGATAAAAGTGGCACTACTACACCAATAGAGATAATTTGCCACACTGGTCATTGTTGTGGTTATTAGGCCTTAAATCTGGGTTGGACCATTGATTGATTTTCTCCCTTAGCAGCTTGCATAGTATCCTCTGACACCATGAGAGCTAGTCTTTGGGGAGGAGGCTTCCAGGTCCATTCCAGCTCCAATCACTTCAAGTCCTGTATCTGAAGTATATCCTGTCTTCAGCAATAGGGTCTTACCTTGAAGTTCTGGGAGGAAATCAAGGACTGAGGCAATAGCCTGTGTTATTTCAGGAGTCCCTTGAAGTACCTTGACCAATAACTTGAAGAGGTTTCTCTTGCCTGGCATTGTGTTTCTTGTTATATAACCTTTAGCTGTATACATGCATGCATACACACACATACACACACACACACACACACACACACACACATTGTACAAAGTGATACTTTCTTCACGGGGAATTTTTCAGTAGGTGTTTGAACTAATACATTTCCCTCTGGTTTTTCATACCACCTAAACATTATTTATTTCACCTCTCTCTCCCCATATATAACTCTCCCTCCTCCCTTGCTAGTTAAAGTACCCCTATTTCTCCCGTGATAATAACCATCTCCTATTATGGCCCTCCTTTGAGCTCCTTTTTCCCCTCTACTTTCATGGTTCCTTGTATACCACACCCTCCCCCCTTCCTAGATAAATACCCACATTTCCCCCACTTCCTTCTTGATAATTCCTGTCTGATACTATCCCCTTCCCTCAGGCTCCTTCTTCCTCTTTACTCCCATGATTCTTTTGCATTTTCCTGACTCCTGTGATTACATTAGGATACATACTCACGTGTAAGGATTTGGAGCTAAGATCCACAAATGAGAGAACATACATCACTAGCTTTTCTGAGTCTGTTACTTCACTTAGTATAAGTTTCTAGTTCCATCAATTTACCTGCAAATTTCATGACTTTGTTTTTCTTTACTGCTAAGTAGGACTCCATTGTGTAAATGTACCACATTTTTGCTACTCAGTTATCAGCTGAGCGATGGTTAGGTTGTTTCTATTCCTTAGTTTATTGAGAAAGGAGCAGCAACAAACATGACTGCACAAGTATCTCTTCAGTAGGATGAGTCCTTTGGGTATATGGCAAGGAGTGGTATATCTGGATCATATGGTAGATTCATTTTTAGTTTTTTAAGAGTTCTGCACACTGCTTTTCACATGGTTGCACCAGTTTGCAATTTCACCATCATCCGTGTGAGCATTTGGTGTCATTTGTTTTCTTGATCTTAGCCATTCTGTGGTAGCTGAAATCTTAAAGTGGTTTTATTTGCACTTCCCTATTTACTAAGAATGTTGAACACTCTTTAAGGTGTTTCTTAGCCAGCCATTTTTATTTTTTCTTTTGTAAGCTCTCTGTTCAGACCCATAACCCAATTTTAAATTGGGTCATTTGTTTTCTTGATTCTTTGTTTTTTTTAGCTCTTTGTATATGCCAGATATCAATCCTCTGTCAGGTGTGCAACTGATGAAGATTTTCTCCCACTCTGTAGGCTTGTTCTTCACTCAGTTGGTTGTTTCCTTTTCTCTACAGAAGGTTTTTAGTTTAATGAGGTCCCACTTGTCAGTTGTTGACTCTAATTCCTGAGCCACTGATGTCTGATTTAGATAGTCCTTTCCTGCACCTTTGTCTTGTAGGTACTGTCTATGTATTCTTCTAACAGTTCAGAGTTTCAGGTTTCACATTGAGGTCCTTGATCCATTTGAGTTGACTTTTGACCAGGGTAATAGATAAGGGTCTAATTTCATTCTTCTGTATGCAGAGATTCAGTTTTGCCAGCACCATTTGTTGGAGATACTATTTTTCCTCCAGTATGTGGAATTGGCACCTTTGTCAAATATCAGGTGGCCGAAAT